TATATATATATATATATATAGGCCTATATATATTAAAGGGAGGGGGCTTGATCAATAAATGAGGGACGCTGGGTCGCAAAATAATTTCTACATCTAGAAAACTCTGATCAAAGTGACTCCGTTTTTTTAATCCAAACGTTCGAATATTTCTTCCATAAATTAAAAGGTACGATAGTCTATATAATAATAATAATAATAATAATAATAATAATAATAATAATAATAATAACAATAACAATAACAATAATAATAATAAGAGTTATATGTCATATGTATATCAATTAAAACGGAATGAAAATAAAGGAGAAATTCTGTGTTTTTATCGATGCAAATGGTTAAACCATCAATAAATAAAGTTCCATATAAAATGATTGAAAAATGTTGCTAGGCTTAGTAGGTCTGTGTTGTAGGAGTTGTATTTGTATGGGCGAGAAGGAGACTAACCCGGGTCTGTGCTACTGTAGGACCTGAACCGCGTCTGTAGGCCTAGTGCGTGAGCTACGGGGTGAGCTAACGCTCGTTTTCGTACGTGTGAGTATAATGAGCAAATGTTCTATGTGCTGACGATTTTAAAATCAAATAGATTGAACTTATTGTAAAGTAGGCCTACAAGACTATAACTAGACTGTACTAATTGAGAAACTAAAACTAATACTTTATGTCGTATGCTTACACGAGAGAGACAGTAGACTAAATGTGAAAGTAAAAGAAATACCATTATGACGATGAGGCGCCAAATGTACAAAGTTATATAGGCCTACATTTAATTTATTATTTAATATATAATTCAACATTTGTTCATTATATACATATAGTTTTGCCGCCAACAATTTTATATAAATAATTGGTGGAGCGATTTTCCTTATTTATAAATAATACGATGTTAAAACAATTATTTATTAATAATGACTATGAGTAAAACTAATATATATAATGAACAAATGTTGAATCGCTCCACCAATTACTTATATATAGGCCCTAATTGCTATAGGAAAAACTAATTAGGCATATATATATATATATAATATAAATCATCAAAGGTACATATACAGTGTTTAATAAGGACATGATGGAACATCGTAGGCTACCCTATAGCTTTTGAACGAATAAAGTCCTATAAAAGTCATTGTGTAATAAAATCCCTCCGACGGGATTCGAACCTCCGACCTCTCGCTGACAAGGCGAGCATCATAACCACTAGACCACGAAGGCTCCATGGTTGAACAGGTCCAAATAACCGCTCAAGAGAGCGTTCGGCCATCTGGAGAAACGGCTAGAAATAAATACTGTCGTATATTGTATATGATATTGAATTAATTATATGATATAATTTTGTTAAATAATGAATAATTGCTAGAGGCAAAACTAATTATATATAGGGCCTATAATGAACAAATGTTTTATTATATTGAATAATATGTATACAATTTTGTTAAATACTGAAAGTACATTTGACGCCTCACAATGCCGTGTAGGCCTACAATCGCCTCTAATACGACTATGAACTTTTTTCAACCGTATATCCTCAGATCCAGTTATGACGTCAAATTATAAGACCACGCACATCCTAACGATAGAGCCTGAGATGTTTTGGTCGGGCAGATCAAGTTCTTCTCCAATCGATGTCGAATTCGATATAGACGGAAACATTCTCATTTGTAATTCTACAGATGAGATTCTTAAATTTAACGAAGATGGTAAATTCTTGTCTCGACTTTCTATCGGCTACGACAGAAAAATATGCGGAATATCGTGCAACGAAAATGGCGAGATTTATATGACAGATGACAAAGCCAAAGAGGTGATTGTCTGCGACGACGAAGGCCAGATCACATTCAATTTCCCTGTAAATGGGAAATCCTCAGATTATGAGCCTAATACAATGACCCTTGGTGGATTGGTCGTCTCCAAGGAAGACGGCATGGTGTTTGTGGTGGATCAGGAATCGAACCACGTTCTACGATTCTCAAAAGATGCGAAATTGTTGAACGAGATATCTTACGGTTCAAACCATGGGAAAGGGACAATAAGGAGTGCTCAGTATGTGGCTTTGGACGCTAGCTACAACGTTTTAGTGAATGACAGCCAGCAGAATCGTGTGCAAGTATTTCGGCCAGATGGTCAGTTTGTCCGGTCTTTACGAGGATCGCGGCATCCCGGAACATCTCTGGAATATTTCAACCAACCGAGCGGAATTGCGGTTTTTGAGAATGGACATGTAGCGGTTGGGTGTCAATCGGGATTATTTGCTTGTAAAAATACATCATACGGTCCCATAGTACGCAGATTTGATGATAAAAATAGTGCAAATGGTATCTTGGGTACAAAAGGCATTGCTGCTACTAAAGGAAATACTATGGCCGTTGCCTTAGCAATGCAAGATGCCGAGTCAACCATTGAGTTGTTTAAATATGATTTGGCCGTTAAGGAAGAAACAGAATGTTGACGATTAAGACTCAACTTCACATTTGATAGCTAAAATGCCTAAATGATAAGAAAAACACAATAAATAATACTTCATAGGCTGAATTATGTAATGATATGTGTAATTGGAATCTCGGTTGCAAACGATTCGTAAATGTAATATTAACACCGGTACACTACACCGGATTCAAAACTGGTGCAACCTATAAGATATACAAAGGATACAAAGGATTAGGTAGAAGCGGTTGGCGCATCGGTTGTGGCTTGGACTCGCAACCTCGAAACTATCGCTCTGCAAATCGCTTGTCCTTGGGCAACAGCTAATGTAGTACAGTAACAACCGTTAATGTAGCACACTCCACAGCTTATGTAGTAAAACTCTCCTCTAATATAGAAACACCAACAGCTTATGTAGTAGAAAGAAAATCAACCTCAGCTTATGCAGAACGCTCAACAGCTAGAGTAGTAACGAAATTGCGTCACAGCTAAATATAACTACTATCGCCAGCTAATGTAGAATATTAAAATATTACAATATCATTGGCTGAACGTGGGAGGAACTAAAATCAGGTTGCCTGCACATTTCCTAATGGCGCGTAAACCTGTCAGGGTACTTAAAAAATGCCGCCAAGCCAATATTGTCGGGTGCTCATCTCGGTAACCACTAATCAGTAAACCTTAATAATTGTCTCGCATTGGCATAAGATCGACAATGGCGTAAGTTCGTCACAGTCAGTCGGTCGGTAGGTTCCCATTACTTTACATCTGCATTTGCAATTTCAGTTTAGCCGGACATTCACTGTGCCCGACCGACGGTCGGCCGATGCGATTATATGGAGAACGATCCGACTGCCCCACCGACAATCAGCAGGCGGAGTCAGTGGCGTAGCCAGTATTTCTGTAGATGGTGGGGGTGAGGGGTGGGGAAGTGTGGGTCAGTGATATTATGGCGGAGGAAACATGGGGTGGGGGAAACAACTGTTCTGATCAAAACGAGGAACCAAATGCTGGGGGCCAGGGTAAAAAAAAATTTGTTTAAAAAATATGGCTGTAAATGGCTATCTTACGTGACCTCAGCCTGTCTGCTCTTAAATAATAATGTATAAATCAAGTGAAATTTATGGAATTAAAGAATCAAAATGAATATCATATTGTTTTATAGCAGTTTATTCATTATACAGAACATTTTAAACCATGATGAAACTATGGTATTTTGTATCTTAATATACGAATTACAGTTAAAGTTTAGAAACATGAATAACCGGAAACGGGAGAGTACGTTAGCCATTGTGTTGCAACAAGAAAGTGCAGAGAATACTGTGAGTTTGTATATGCCTGTGATTGCCAATGTATAGGCTTACTGTACTGTAAACTAAAACTACACAATATAAATTAAACATTCATTTCGAGTTAAATCTGGGTTTTGGATAGCATACCGACACAGTCATGAGCAAAGTTGAGGATGCTCCTATGCGAAAACCAAATTTAAAAACTGGTTGAGCTGAATTCGAGCAGAGCAATCATCGATATGTAGAAATGTCAATGAACCTCATTAGCCACCTCAGGGGTGGGGGAGGGGAAGCGGGCGGGGGGTGCAATCCAAAATCTGTGATCTGTTCCCCCCCCCCCCACCTTTGATGAATTAGGTTTTTGATTTAATGCTGGGTAAGTTAAAAACAGACATTCTTTCCGAGTGGGACTCATTCAAAAATTCGAGGGGGTTCGCTAGAAAAGGGGGGTTCGCCCGAACCATAAAAACCCCCCCTGGCTACGGGCCTGGTAACCATCTAATTTATTTTCAAATCCTGATTCTTGAAAGTGAATTTCTATATTTCGGAAATTTTGCATGAAATCTGTCAACCACGCTGTCATGGTCGAGGTTGCTTCACCTATTACGGTGTATTCCAACCATCATGAGGCTATCTAAATGAGCATTTGTCATAACAGAACGCAAATTATTTTTAACACTAAAAGCTTAATTGTAGGCCTACCCTTCTCGATAAACCACAAGATCTTTAATTCATTCAATAGGCCTACTGTAAACTAGGACAAACTAGGAGCACCTCCACCTCTTTCCAATGGTATTCATAAATTTCACTCATGGTTTTGTAGGCCTATCAAATCTTACAGACATGATGCAAGATCAGAACATTGTTACAAAGATGTTGGCCCCATGTGACCCTTCGCCACCCCTCAACTCCGAGCCCTGCCCATCAATTGTAGCGCGCGAAAATTTGACCACAGGTCTGTGCCATGCAAAACCTATTGAATAAGCCTTTGGATGATGCCAAATTCACCACGTTACACGTTAATCTGCTGGGGCGGTGACGTAGGTTACTGAAACAGGGGTGGGGGAATTAATGGGGTACGAATGTGAAGTGGGAGGGATCGATGAGTCAGGGACGTAGCCAGGATTTGGAAAAGGGGGGGGGGGGGGGGGGGGGGGGGGGGGGGCGTTATGCGAATTACGTATGACCCTGGCGGGTTCAAGGGGGCGAATCCTCCTGTGAAGTAGCGCACTGTGAACGTTCTTAGTACTGTTTGAGAGGATAAAGTGAAAATTGCAATAGACGCATTATAAATAAGCGCAAAAATAATTATATAATAAATCAACAGTGGCAGATCCAGGAATTCGAAGGAGAGGTGAACCAGGGAGGGACTTTCACAGACCGAGGAACCACCCACCTCAACCCCACCATGGTTGGGGCTGAGGTAAGAAAAATTATGATTAGGGCCGGAAATTACACTCTCGCACTTCAATTTGAATATATTTTTCTTTTTTTTTCCTTAAAAAAATGAAGGGTGGGCGGGGGGCCTTGAATCCACCTCTGCTCAAAACATTCTTTATCCAGCATAGTCATAATCACGAAAAATGTACATGAAAAACCAGATCACATCCTAAAAACACACAGCAGTCACTAAGACATACATCAGGAGCCAACGACTCGATGGAGTTTAATGTCCAGGCAAGGGCACAGATCTGTTTTGAAAAGTGGAGGGGGAGGGTATTTTGTGAGTCGACACCCACCTCAGCCCCACAATGGTTGGAGCTGAGGTGAGAAAATAGTACCTCTAGATGGCCAGAAATGACACTTTTAGTAAAATTCATCATCATCACATCACCATTAGTCAAAATGAAGCGCCAAAAAAAAAAATTTAAAAAATTCTCATGATCTTTTATCATGGATTTTTGACAACCATAGAGATCTTATTAATGTGTGTGTGTGTCCCATAGAAAACAAAGCTTAAATACATTGTCTTTGAGTATGTAAGTTACATAGGCCTACTTCAAAAACGTGATTTCACAACCACCTCAGCCCCACCATGGCTGGGGCTGAGGTGAGAAAATTTGAGGAAATAGTACCTCTCAAGATGGCCGGAAATGACACTTTTATATAGTAAAATTCATCATCATCACATTATAGTCAAAAAGAAACGCCTACAAATTTTTCATGATCTTTTATCAGGAATCTACTTAATATCCAGGACAACTTAGGCCTAATTATAGCTTACTAAGCTTTAACTATATATACTATATTATGATCAACAAATCACAACATTTTTTTCGCATTTAGCACAATTTTCTCCACTTTTTACTGCTATTAATATTATTATCAATTATTACTATCGTCATTATCATCATTGTTATTATTATTATTACTATTAGTAGTAGTATTATTAAACAAACATGATCTTTTATCAGGGATTTTTGACAACCATGAGATCTTATTCTTATTAATGTGTGTGTGATATACCATAGAAAGAAACATAGAAAAAAAGATTAAAAACATTGTCTTTGAGTATGTACTTTACATAGAGCTACTTCAAAAACGTGATATCACAACAACCTCAGCCCCACCATGGCTGGGGCTGAGGTGAGAAAATTTGAGGAAATAGTACCTCTCGAGATGGCCGGAATTGACACTTTTATATAGTAAAATTCATCATCATCACATTACCATTGTAGTCAAAATGAAACACCAACACATTTCTCATGATTTTTTATCAGGGATCTACGTAATATCCAGGACAACTTAGGCCTAATTATAGCTTACTAAGCTTTAACTATATGTACTATATTATGATCAACAAATCACAACTTTTTTTCGCATTTAGCACGATTTTCTTCACTTTTTATTGTTATTAATGTCAATTATTACTATCGTCATCATCATCATTGTTATTATTATTATTATTACTATTAGAAGTAGTAATATTATTAAACAAACATTTAAAGAAACTTGCAAAAGGATAAAAACCAAATTGAACCACAGTGTCGCATTTCTATCTTAAAAGTCGACCTGGCCTGAGATTTATGGATTTAAGATTTTTTTCAACTTTTTAGGCCCATGTGTTCTATTAGGCCTATGTATAACGTGTACTGATGCATATTTACATGTTTAGAAGTATTCATTTTGAGTGATCCCAGGAAAGAATTTGATTTGTATTGGCTCAAGAATAAGCTTTAAAATGTTAACACTGTGTACAAAGGGGGAGGGGGAGCCGCGGCTCCCACGGCTCCCCCTTGGATACGTCCCTGCGATGAGTAAAGAGAAGCCACTTGCAAAGTAAGGGGATATGAGGTAATTTTTAACTAATAGTATTTTTTTTGCTTCGAATTATTTAGTAAATGGGGGAGGAGTCGACTGGTGTGTACACACCCCTCACCACTCCCCGCGCACCCCTAGATACACAACTGCGCGGAGTTTGAAATCTTTGCGAAAACGGTCCAAGATTTCCGAAAATTGAGTGGCAGTAGAAGTAGCAGGATGAATTGTTCACAAACGGAAGATGGTTATCAACTTCCTGTTAATGGCTTATGCCTCTGTATGCCTTTGGAATTCAAACAATGTAACTCCCGGTATACAGTTACAGTACCACTGGCTAGAAATCTCAAGTTGTAAAACGGATAAAATTTGTAACCAAGCTACGGTACTGCTGGAATTCTCACCATAGGTTCTATATATTATGTAAACATCATCGATGTTGCGTCGCATGAAAGTTGGGATTTACGGAGAAAATCAAGTTTTTAAAGGCAGATTTTGCCTACCTACCGTCGTGAAAAGTTGTTTTGATAATAAAAAAAACTCCAAAAAAATATAACATGCTCCTTATATCGATGCTCCTTGATTTAGATCTGGACCCATATAAAAGGCATGTAAAATCTTCTAGTTCCGACATTAATTCCTCCTCAACTTCCCAATTTTCTCCTAATTTCTTAAAAATATCTACAAATTTTGAATATTTTTATTCGGTAACGGTACATTTATAATTAAAATTTATAAAATTTACATTTTAATTATTTTTTTCGGTAAATAGAGCTATAGAATATAGAATAAACTAGTAAATATATCCTCCAGTGTACAAAACATTTTATTCCTACCGTAAAACGTATTACAGTATCTAAAATGCAATGCTTGAATTGAGGGCGTCATCAAATGAAGGCGTCATCAAATTGTATGGCGGGTCACTTCAAACGACATGTAAAAAATCACAACTTTCTTTGTTTCTTATATTTTTTGGAGTTTTTTATTATCAAAACAACGCATTATTTAGATACTGTAATATAGTGTACATTTTGCGGTAGGAATAAAATGTTTTGTACACTGGAGGATATATTTACTAGTTTATTCTATATTCTATAGCTCTATTTACCGAAAAAAATAATTAAAATGTAAATTTTATAAATTTTAATTATAAATGTACCGTTACCGAATAAAAATATTCAAAATTTGTAGATATTTTTAAGAAATTAGGAGAAAATTGGGAAGTTGAGGAGGAATTAATGTCGGAACTAGAAGATTTTACATGCCTTTTATATGGGTCCAGATCTAAATCAAGGAGCATCGATATAAGGAGCATGTTATATTTTTTGGAGTTTTTTATTATCAAAACAACATTTTTATATGTGATACATAATAATATATTATAATACAGATACTAATTACCATATTTGTACATTTATACATTTCTTTTTAAAACGAAGGTCAACGGCAGCAGCGTCGTATCATATAATTTGCCTCGTGACGTCATTTCTCGATGTAAACAATTCACGACGGTAGGTAGGTAGGCAAAATCTGCCTTTAAAAACTTGATTTTCTCCGTAAATCCCAACTTTCATGCGACGCAACATCGATATATGATGTTTA